GGTTTGGCTGAAGCACAACTTCAGTCTGTCGGTAGATTTTCTCGGTCCAGTTTTTGGTGCAGTCAGCTCTGGACAGCAGATTCTCAAAGTGAGTGTCCAGCTCGGTCTTCTCAGCCTGTCCCAGTTTCTCCTCTGTAAACTGAAGCAGAAGTCACAAGATCAACAAGAATCGGTCATATTCCTGAGAGCAAACGCATTAAAAAAATAATAACAAACAGTCAGTGTTGGGGAGTAACTAGTTACATGTAACTAAATTACACAATTTACAGTTTTTTTCAACTGCTTACACACAGAATCTTTACTTGTCACACAATTTCTGAAACCTGACACTCAACACCAGAACCACACACCAAATCTGCAAAACCATACACTAATTCTCAGCCTTTGACTCAGTTTTCAATTTCATAAAACACTTTTTGCAAAACACAACACACAATTCTCTATGTAACACACAAAAATCTATTAGGAAGTATCTTGATTTCCTTTTTCAAACACAACCAATCAAAATGCCACACTAACTCAACAGTGACACTAACTCCTCACACGTGCAAACACTCATTGCTTTACTTACCACCAAGCAATCATGGCTTTAGAATAGGCCTATAAATACACATCTACACAACTACACATGGTGGATGTATTTCTTTTCTTTTGTCCTGTGTAATACTGTATTCACAACCACAAATGCTTACAGTAAAAAAAAAAAAGTTTTGTTTCAACAATCTTGCTTTTGTGTTTACCATGAATTTTTCAACATCTCTGCCAATTACTTTCAATCTTGAACAGAAATGCACATAAGAGCTCATGAAAGAAGAGCTTAGGGCTGGACGATATGGCCAAAATTTATATCACGATATATTTCTTAAAGAGCTTTAGGTTTTAAATAACTGTGTGTATATGATATATCCAAAAACATAATATTATGGCAAATAGTGCTGGGCGGTATACCGGTTCATACCGAATACTGGTGTTTATTTTTGTTATGATATGAATTTTTAAAATACCGCAATACCGGTGTATGTCGCTTAAACAACGTTGGGAACGTGACACTGTTTGAAAGAGGCATGACATTTTTGAGAAAATGATAAAAAATTCTGGCGGTGGCTGGCAACTTTTTTCAAAAACGCTGGCAGGGAAAGAGTTAATGGACTGCTATCTTAAAACATTTTATTTCATTTCTTTTAATTTTCCAAAAATGTATTGAACTTTGCTCTAATTTCTGTATTTTGGGCTTGTTCCCTTTCTAGACTTAGATATTTAATTTGGCATTAAATATATTTAATATATAATATTAAATTATTACAAAATACTTAGTATATAAGTTATATATATAACTTATAAAGTAATATAATAACTTACATTATAATATATATATATATATATAAAATCATGGCGGGGGAGGGGGTTTTCATACGCGTTTGGCCAATCATTGTCTACTTACGTCACGATTAGTACCAGTTGTGCTGGTTAGGAGCTAATTTGGTTCTCGAAAAAGGCAGTCCGGTACTAAAATCGCTCCCGGTTCCGGCGGTGCGAAAACGCCCAAAAGTGGGTAGTTCCACAATTAGTTCTGGTACTATGAAAAGTTTCCCAAGCGTGAAAGTTCAGAAACTGAAGCTGTAGAACTAATAGAACGTGATGACACAGAAGAACTCATCCACAATATCCACACTGACCTCCACAAATATCCACCGCCCGCTGCCATCAGCTCCCGCGTGTCACACACACGAGCATGACTTTAGCACTAGATTTAGCAACTTTCAGGCCCTTTTAGCGGATTTTTTCAATAGACTATTCATACTGACAAACCTAGAGTCTTTTCTGGATAAAGCTTAGCTATGGTTCAGTTGGAGGATTTCTTCAGTGCTGTCCCGCGAGCGTGAGGTCTGTCTTTCCCGGAGAAGTGTCGCCTCTCTCGGCGTCTGTTCTGTGCAGTGAGAGGCAGAGAAGCACCACAGCCGACTCGTCAATAAATGAGTACAAAACAGCGTTTCCTAGCATCTGTCACTTACTGATTGTTTGGAATTATAAATATGAGCGTATTCGTCTGTTAATATCACATGCACTTTTGTTTGTTGTTGTTTTTAGTTTATTACTCAGATGCAGGCAGTGCTCTGCATGAGACAAAAGAGTAATCTAGCCAAAACAACCGCATAGCTGCTCTTTAGTGTAGATGCATGTTGATTTTATCAGACGATGCCGCGATTATAAATGAGAGTGACTCCTGGTTAACACGTATTGAAAGGGCTCGTGTTTAGTTACAATTTAGTGTGGATTATTTTTTGACAATATTCACTCATCATGACAGTAAAATAGTGCATTCTAAGTCAATATACTGCAGTATTTCCTCTCAATCAGTAGAAAATATGGTTAACACCCGCTCATGCATGAAAAAAAATACCGTCATGTACCGTGAAACCGGTATAATTTTGGAAAATACCGTGATATAAATTTTTTGTCATACCGCCCAGCACTAATAGCAAAGGTGTTTGCAACACAAGACAAATGTTTGCTTTTGAGATATGTTTGTGATATTTTGAATGCAGCGCTTCATTTTACAAGAGATGAGAGGCATTTTGCATTTTGTGTGTGCAATTCTTGGATTTGTGTGTTAAGTTTTGAAAATAAGAGGCAAAGTTTTGAAAATGTGTTTAAGCGGTTGAAAAAAACTAATTACAAAATAAATATAACTGTAATCTGTTACAGCTACTGAGAAAAAAATGTGTAATTAAAGTAGTTACTTATGAAAATGTTAAAGATTACAAAGGGGGGTTACATCTGAATATTTACACACACACACACAAACACACACACAAACACAAACACACAAACACAAACACACACACACACACACACAAACACACACACACACACACACACAAACACACAAACACACAAACACAGCCCCATAAACCCAAACCCGAAGACTTGTCAGATAAGAGCTGAGGTGAGCTAATCGTAGTCTGAAGACCCAGGTAAACAATTAATTAATATTTTCTGTTTCTTATAGTAGTTTTGTATTGTTTTTAGTGTGATCAACGTTTGCGTAAGTAGTAGACGTATTTGGGAAGTAACACGTAACATTTTAATTATATTTTGCTAAAATGAACGAAATGACTCGAAAAAAGATTCGTTCGTTTTGCTGAACGAGACTCAAAGGTCCGAGTCGGTAAAATGATCCGAACTTCCCATCACGGGTTGCCAGGTTTTCACAACAAAACCCGCACAATCGCTACTCAAAACTAGCCTTTTCGCTTTCCGGGGGGTAAATACACGTAAAATACACGTTTTTGGCAGGGTTCCTCCGGTAAAATTCGCATTCCATGTGCTAACTATCAGGTTATTGTGCTCGCTTCAACCAGTGACAACAGTGTTAAAGTATCCAAATTCCGCGGGAAAACCGCGGACTTGGCAACGGTTTCTCTGAGACTCGAGCGGTTATTCCTGCAGGGGGCGCTGCGCGGCTCACGAATACAATCCTCCATTGAGTCGCATTCAAATCTCAGAAAGCATTTTATCTTACTGGAAACATTTGTGCGGGGAAGAGTATAATCGTTTGAATCTGTTAACTCCAAAAGATCAATAGCTAACATAGAAATAGAAATCCCCCATAGAAAACTCTATAAAATGACTCTTAAACTCCTTAACCACAACCGACTGTGATTGGTCCATCCTAACAGCGCTGAGAAAAGTAACAGTTACCAGGTGAGGTTACGCCGTATCACTTTAATCCCCGGAATAATTAATAATATTAATAATAAAAAATAATAACATTAATAATTTACACCTGGATAACGACACTGAGAAACTTTAATAGAAATTTAATTTATTAAAAATATATATTTTTTTAATTATAATTCTAATTATTACGGACAAATTAGAGGCAGCTTCGGCCAACCACTCCCCACTTATTGCAATTCTGCTTATTATATTTCAAAGGGCTAGTGTGTGTATTTAATTAGAGGCACAAGTGCGCTCATCGGTCTACTGCTCCGCCTTATTTAAAGAGCAATAGCACAGCTGAGATTGCATGAATTCATGAAAATAAAGATGAAATCACAACTAGCACTTTTCACTTTGTTGAAGGACACAGTCACAGTCACTGGACGTTCAGAAATAACCTTTTCATAACTTAATGAGAATGTTAGCAAAACGATCTTAGAAGATATATTGCTTGCTCAATATCTCAATATTCACATTTTTTTATGAATCCCCCAAAAATAATTGTAAAAACATATGAATTATGGCTTATAAAATCATTTTACTTACTGTAATCTCAGTTTGTAACATACAGTATATAATATTTAGATTTTATACTATTATTTATTTTTTAAAGAAATTATGTTGAATATTGTAATCATTTGACTAACTGTAAATACAGTTTGTAATATATAGTTTTTATATTTTATACTATTATATTTAATAAAATTATATTATTTAATGTACACTTTATTAACTAAATACAGTTTGTAATATAGAACGGTATATTATATTATTTTTATAAAATGATGTAATCACTTTACTAACTGTAAATGCAGTTCGTAATATATTTTTATATTTTATACTATTATATATATATTTTAATAAATGTGTATATATATAATGTAATCATTTTACTAACTGTAAATACAGTTTGTAGTATATAAAATATATTTTATTAAATTTTATATATCATGTAATCACTTTACTAACTGTAAGTACAATTTGTAATATATTCATTTTTATATTTTATACTATTATATATATATATATTAATAAATGTGTATATATATAATGTAATCATTTTACTAACTGTAAATACAGTTTGTAATATATAAAATATATTTTATAAAATGTTATATATCATGTAATCACTTTATAACTGTAAATAGAGTTTGTAATAATGAGCTGTTCTGTTGCTGGTCTAGAGCTGTGCTGGAATCTGACACATTCATGTGCATTATTATCACTAGTGTGTTAACTGACTAGTGCTGCAGTGCTAGTTAGTGGTCAGACTCAGTAGTGGTGAATGTACGTGATGGTTCTCTCCGTTCTGACTGTGGTTTATTTCTCTTTAGGCCTCACAGCAGCGGTTCCTCCGTCCGAGCTGAAACACAGCGGCTGTATTAAAGTGAATGGGTGTAAATGTCTGATGAGGGATGGATCAGGTCTCATTGATCTGGCCTCAGTGGCGGATGAGGACGGGTTCATACAGCGACTCAAACCCCTGCCATCAGCGGTGGGAACCGCGGACGTGCTGCTGTCCTTCAGCCCGTGTCTGCCCTTCTCTCAGCCCGAGGACTTCAGCATCACCGCCTGCACCGATGTGGCTGCCTGTGTCATTATACGGTCAGTTCATCACATTTAAAATGATTTCTCTCAGTAGTAAACCGTTATGATCAATATACAAGCTCACAGAATATCCCATCTGTCGTTGGGATGAGGCATAATGTTATATATGTTTGTAAAGTGAACCTCATGGAAGATGTTTCTGTAGGATTCATCAGGACAACAGGTTCATCAGTCAGTACTTGAACTTTGGCAGACATGAAGGCAATAAATTCAGCTATAACGACTCAAAGAAAACTCTCACGGTGTCTTACTCCAGTAAGTAACTGTATCAAGCATGTCTGTAATTATTCACTTAAATGAAAGGCTTTTAGCAGATTCTCTTGTTCAGTGTCTCATCAACAGTACAATGATATTCTAAACAGATTTTGTAAATTGAAAAAAAAAAAAGTAAATGCTTTTTTAAATGAAATGTATTAGTTTAACATGAATTAAATTAACAATCATAAATATATCTTTATTTGTCAATTTGCAAACAGTAATTTATTTAAATTTTTATTTAATATTAAGTAAATTAATTTTTTTTATCCATTTAAACTGAATAAAACTGAAATTAAAATTGAAAGTCTGTGTCTACGTGTAGTTTTGAGCTCATCTATATGCCACTAAAAGTAAAATTTACAGCATTTTAATTTAATTTTTATATTTTTTGATTTCACTTTCATTTTAGTTAAAGTTTTAGTCATTTTTATTTGTTTTTTTTTGTTGTACTTTTTAGTAAGATTAGAAATGCTGCTAGCTAAAATAACATGTTTACATTTTTTAAATATTTAATTTTATTTCAGTTCATGCTTATTTTATTTTATTTCAAGTAACAAAAAAATGGTTTTAGTTAACTATAAAAATCCGGCTAACCATAGCAAGCAGCAAATCTCGCACAGTAAAGAAATTTCACAGGATCATTAAACAAATTCATCAAACAATTTCATGTAAATCTAAAGCTATCTGAAAGCAACAGAGAACATCTGCCATATATTTTGACCTCATGACCTCTGTGACCTCTGTCTCTCTATCAGTGTTGCCTGACAGCGAGCCTCAAACTGTGGTTCATTACCAGTGCAGCCCGAATCACTCCATCACTCACAGCCAGAGCTTCAGCGCAGACGGGCCCCTGCAGATGTGGGTGGAGAGTCCCTGTGCGTGCCCGAACGCCTGTGCGCTGGTGGACGTGGGTCCTGGGACCATCTTCCTCATCATCCTCTGCCTCAGTGTGACCGCTTACTTCATTATAGGTCATTCTGCATCTCTCAGATGAGCTTGTAGTGCAGTTGGAGTCCAGTAGAGGGCATTACAACCACATCAACAGCCCCAAATTGATTATAACTAAGGGTTATCTCAAAATTTCAGCTGTGTAGTCAGCATGTAAAAGCATTATATCTTGGCCAGGAGCGTTTCTAGCCTTGCAAGTAGTGCGAAGGGCCCCCATCCAAAATGTTCCCATATTTTGATGAACTTTTATGATACAGTTTTGGGTAGGCTATGTGGATATCGTTACCTGTACAAAATGCGGTGCTCGTTCACAAGCTGCACACGTCGAGCAATAAACAGAAGCTTCATCGCGGATACACAAACGATTTTGATTCATACAATGGATTGTAAATACTTTTTTTAATAAATAAATACAAGGTAACTTTTTATCTCGCACTTTTCTGAGTATATACCTCTCAAATCGGACTTTTTTCTCCCAATTCTGAGATTTAAAGGGGACATATCATGAAGATTTTTTCCGTGTTCAAGTGCTATAATCGGGTCCCCAGTGCATCTACCCAGAAAAGGTGAAAAGGGACAACCTAGTAACTTTGTTTTGGTAAGCCTTTCTCTGCAAGCATGTGGAAAAAAAACGAGCCGCTCAGATGTAAGAAGGGGATCTTATTATATTATCACCGCCCCTTAATCTGCACGTTTCCTCCCTCGGCGCTGCTGTTACTTAATATACAGATCTAATATAAACATGCGATTTCTTTCCCAGCTGTTTACCTTCACAGACATACTGTACAGACGTGTGTTTTTAACATATATCTGTGTGTATTTGACAGTTTAAGCGCAATAAGACATGAAAGAGAACTAAGTTTATTACTCACATGCCATGTGACAGCCGCTTCCTGTGCGCGTGCTTCAGATGTGTGCGCTCAGAAAACCCTATATCATAAGTTCAAACCGATATGGCTTTAAAACGCATGATTTCAGCGCGATATACATGATAATCAAAGCCAACCAGATTTCTCACAGAGTGCTGAGGTACCAGCTGTAAAGGCACATGCACAACCCTATTGTGGAAAAGGGGGCGGGAACAGAAGCTCATTTGCATTTAAAGATACATGCACGAAAACAGCGTGTTTCAACTTCCACTCAAAATAGGCATTTTCAAAATGATATAATAAATTATCTGTGGGGTATTTTGAGCTGAAGCTTCACAGACACATTTATGGGGACACCTGAGACTTATATTACATCTTGTAAAAAGGGCCATAATAGGTGCCCTTTAAAAAAAATCCATATAATAGAGCGCAATTACCTTTTATATTTTTTATTCCATGGCAAAAAAAAAACTGAATTTCGGGATGTAAAGAATTCCTAGGAAAAATGTCAAAATTTCGAGATAAACTCGCAAACGCATCACGCAATAAACAGAGTCTTGATCGCTGACACAAGAACCATATAGAGCACATTTGCGCATGGATTGTAGGTAAATACTGTCAAAAGGTTTTTAAAAAGTAATAATAAAAGGTAACTGCGAATTTTCCTCTTTCAATTCTGAGTTTATATCTCCCAATTCGGACTTTGTTTCTCCCAATTCTGAGATAAAAAAAAAAAAAAAAGTCGAAATTTCGAGATAAAAAGTTTAGTATTTTTATTTCATGGCGAAAAAAAATACTTTTGAGATTTAAACTCAGAATTTCGAAGAAAAAACTCAAAATTCGACATGCGAACTTGCAAATATAAATGCGTGGGACTGTTTTGTTAATCCCGCTCGTGAGTGATGAATGCCCGAATGAATCGCAAACTATTTAAGATCTTATTGCAAACCCGTTTGACCGAATAGATCAACAATAATTCATTCGCGATTAGCTAGTCTGATTCTGGTTTATCAGTAATATTTTACGGTATTTCACAGCGACGTATGGAAATGATCAGATGTCCTCATCTCCTCTCTTGTGTCTGTAGGATCATGTGCGCTTCGGCCGTTCAGGACTAGTAATGGTGTTCAGATGGCTCCAGAAGACAGTGTTTGGTGTATGATCTGCTATCAGCTCAGCGAGCGGCCCGACGGCAGCAGGCGGAAGCGGAACTACTCACTGACTGACACGCTGTGAACTCACTGGAGACATTATGCGACGTTACATTTCATAAACTCCAAATGCATATGTTACAAGGCCCACCCTTAAATAAACACTCCCCAGCACAACATGTTAGTTTAAATAGAAATCCCCAAGATTTATTGATGGCTTTACAGAGTATTTCACACACAGAATGATTTACTCACAAATTTCCCAAGCAAAATTGATTTAATAAAGCAAACTCAACTGAATAAATGACTCAGCGACTCTCTTATTAAGACAGGGGCTTGCCGCCACCTACTGGTAATTATACTGAACTGCAGGGGGTTTGTGAGTTTAATGAAAAGCTAATAATTAATTAAATCATAATAATGTAAAATTACAATAAATAATTTTGAAATAGCATCAGTCAAAATAAAAAACCTGCATGTCATGTGAAAATTAACCAACGTCAGAGAACCGTGAACATGCAAATGTGATACTTAATTACTGAAATATTTATTTTTATATCTCAGGGGTTCTTCAAGTAAATATATTTGGTAAAAGAGGTTCAGATGACAAAAAAGTTTGGGAATGCCTGCATTGCATGTAAATAAAAAATAATATGAATTTGTGCATTTTTATGTGTTTGAAAGACAAAAGCCTTCCAAAGACATAGTAATACATGGTTAAATAACCTACTGAGTGATAATACAAATAAAAATTAAAGTGTTCATCTGTAGTTGATGCAATGTGGAAACACTTCTTAAACCTGAAATGATTTTTGAAAATCCAGTGGTCAAATACTGTGTAGCCTCCTGACTAATGACTGGTCTTTGTGTGAATGTCCACAAAACTGGAAGACTTTCTGAGTCTATATAAGCGGTAGACAGTGATAGAAAGGACCATTTAAAAGATGAAAAAGAGGAATTAGGGGGAATCAAACCTATATTAATAATTTATTGCTATTATGTGAATAATATGTAATCATGTAATCAATAAGAAAATAACTGTAGTCTGATTAATAACTGAGTATTTTGAAATGTAATTTAATCTAATTACGAGTATCTTATTTAATTTTTGAAATCTGATTACGTAATCCAGATTGCATGAAATCAGTTAAAAATCCACCTATTCCTTTTTTTTATAATCCCCATAAACCAAATCAGTCTCATTAGACATGTCGTTTCGGTTCTCTGAGCATTGTGATGTCACATTGTTTAGGCCCCGCCCACGGTCACTGACTGACACCGCCATATTAGCAGAGACCCCGCCCTTGAGTGAGCCGCACGCAATCCGGCATGTTTATCCTCACGCTAGGGCATTTAAAAGCAGCATTCAAGTTCTTATTAAAGCTATAGAAGTTATTCGGTCAAGAGCAGTGAGTGGTTTTCTGTTTTATTTATTGTTTGGCTCATATTAACAGCGTAGACAGCAGTAGGTACTCCATGTTATGTAGCAGTAGGTCATATGATGCTGCTAAAAAGAACATTATTTTGCGTTTTTGGTGTAATGAAATGTGTTTATGCGGTTTAAGGTTAAAAAAACACATTATTTTCCACATACTGTACATTATTGTTTCTCCTCTATGCCCTGCCTTTCTGAAACGCTTTTTACAAAGCTCATCGGTCTGAAAAGCGAGGTGTGCTGTGATTGGCCAGCTATCCAGTGTGTTGTGATTGGCCGAATACCTCAAGCGTGTGACGGAAATGTTACACCCCTCACCATACTGTGATGCCCCGTCAGGCCGGAGCGTAGCATAAAACCATGTCTGCATTTGTGATCGGACAAATCACAAACAACAAGCGCTACTCTACACTGCCCAAACTCGTGTTTGAATCGTCAGTGGCAAATTCTTTAAATATAGAAAACGTACT